TTTAAACATGTCTGTGCATGATAACAAATTATCAATAACAACAATAACATTTAAGCTTCAACTGAATACCAGGGGAAGTGTTAATATTCAAATTAAAAATATTCCAATCTAAACTGAGCTTTGAAGAGATCCCAGCATTCCCCATCCTTATTTTTTAGGCAACCACCTCTAAAACCAAAAGATACCTTTGCAGCCTTCAATAACTGAAACTTAAGACGACAGATTGAACCAAGTCAATATATCCATTTCTGGTAAGAAACTGACTAAAGAGGTTAAAAAGTAGTTTGCAACAATTTGAAAGGCACTTTGACCTTGGAGGGAAAAGCTAAGCAAAAAAAAAACCCAACATCTTGTAAATATGGGATGAAAGAGCATGATAAGGCTCAGCTGTTACAATCCCCTGAATAACCCTGGAAAGGCCTCCCAGTTGCAGCAGGATGTACAGGATATACCCTTTGGAGTTTCTCATTTCCAAGATTTCTAAGAATGATGTCTCATCTGAGATGGCAAAACCCTAGGATTAAAGCAACACCTATTACCAGATTTGCTCATCTAATAGGAGTTGATGCACATGAAGAATGAATAGGATTTTCTGAGCAAGAATGACTCATACTAGTGGTCATTACACAAGAATAACGAGGACCATAATGACATGCTCATGAGCAAGCACATATTGGTCAGAGAAAATAAGCCAAGCACCTCAAAAATCCAATGGCTGTGTTAAATCCCATGACATCTGCCTAAATATTTATGGGTTTTTAATGGCAGGTTCTTAGCCTTGCCAGTCTTACAGCATTGCTGACATCACTCCTCAAAATAAACAGATCTGAGGGAACCTTCTACAACTCACCTTTTCAGCAATTCAGAATTTTACTTGGTTTTAGACTGTAAGATTTGGCATTACTGTTGAAACAACACAGCTATAAACACAAGAAATGAATGCAGCAGGCACTTCATATATCCAAAGAGCTAGATTTTGCTTGCCTCCTAGTGCTATGCCCACTGCATGTTCCTGAATGAGTCATCTGTGCAGGGGAAATACCTCAAAATTAGCAGATTAGGAATGGCAGATCATAGAGACTTGTACACAATGTCATGGCTACGCTCCTTCCAGACCCAAGCTGTCTATGCTCATGCAGCTCTGATGACCTTGGTCTGTATATCCCAGTACATCCTCCTTCCAGAGTCAAGCAGCTCAGAGTCTCAGCATTCTGCTCCACTTGGACTGTGCTCTCCTATACTTCTCCTTGTGCGCATAAGCCAGTGGCAAAGTCTGCAGAGTGGAGAGTACAGACGGGGGAGAGGAAAGCAAAGGCATGTAGTGCTGGTGCACCCACTCAAGGTAGCAATGACACCAGAGGCAGGGTCTGAAGGACAGGTCCTGGCCTTCACTGCACATGCATATCAGGACACAAGTGTGTTAGCCTATTGCATAACTTATACGGAATTATGCAATCCTTCAGTGCTCATTAACGAGCAGAGGCTACCACAAATAATTATCAAAAACAAGCTCATAAGGGGAAATCCTGAATAAACATGACCTGGTTTAATAATAGGCAAACCATGCTTTTAGGCCAAGAAATTACGCATATTATCCCAGGAATAAAAGTTACTGAGCTATAAGTAGTAACAAGTTCACTACTAGTATTAGAGAAGACAAACCTAGGAATACACTTGTTTGTGTAAGTTGCAGTTCATCTTATTTGGTAAGACTACAAATGTCCTAATTTGTTTTTAAAAGTAAAATCAATTGTATATTTATTTATACCAATTTACCTGCCTGCCTGTTCTACATCACTGGGCCTGTATTGATTGTTTGAGATGGAACTCATTCCAAATTGTATCAATTTAAGTCATTAGCAAATTTTTAGCAAAACATATTTTGTGGTTTCAGGACAGAAGTACAGAAAACTCCATTCAGGGACTGCAGGACTAGAGCAGGGGGTATTGGGAGGGGACTAGGATTTCTCCAATGAATAAGACTTAAAATCAGCAATAATACGAATAATATGTTTCAGATAGAAAAAAAGCATTTTCTAAACAATAAATAAGAAAAAGGAGCAGGAAAAGCCTAGATACATTGATAAGGGGAAATAAAAATGGGGTGAATAATTCATAAATAGTAGAGTGCATTGGTCATTTTTCAGACATTTTGATTTATGAATTTAAGTGCCTAAAACAGCTCAACAATTTATAAAGGATTTTAAAATCAACAGATCATGGGTAGATTTGTCTGGCTTTCCAGCAAGGCAGTCGAGCTGCATCTGTTACCTTGGTAACTGAAGGTACCTCAGTTACCATGGCTACGCCTCCTTTAAAATACGGTTGGCAATTCCTCACGCCCCAACTTTTGTGACTATTTTGAAGAGGGGGAAAAAAATCCTAGTACTATGTAAACACCCGCATTGAGACAAAAGGTCTGTATAATGCAAATTTTCTCAGCCCACAAGGCCACGTCAAGAATAAGCTAATTTTTCTGTTGCAAATCTTCAGCTCTCAGAGAGACTATGTCATGAAGAACTTGGTCATCACATACCTAGCACAACAGTTCACATCAAAAACCAGCTCTACGGCTCACTGGAAGAAAGTGCATAAATGGACTCCTACCACACTTCAATTTCTCTGTGTATCAAGGTTACCCACAATAGGGAAGCTTCCTGGACTGATTAATGAAACATAGGGGAGGGGGGGAAAGATATGCTGGGTTCTTGTTTCTGAGGCAAAGGAGGTGGCAACAGGAGTGCATTCATTTCCACTGACTCCAGTCAGTACCCAAGATAATTTTCCTTATAATCCAGAAGGGACAGCTTTATGCAGGGAACAATTTACTGCACTCAAATTGGTGTGCTCTGAATTATTCTGAGGTTGGAGGAGCATTTATGTTGCCAAGTTGCAAGTAAGGTGTTTATGGAAGTTGTTTGCACCTAATACATGAAGATGAGAAAAGGGCTTTTCCATCTTTCTGGAAAATTGTGCACCTTTCCCAAAGCACAGGGCATTCAAGGAAGATGTCACAAAGGGAAGCTTCCTCTTCCTCCTCATTGAGGTTATACTGCAAGTTAAATATAAAAATACTTCAAGCCCTGATGGAGAAATAAACAAACATTTTTTTAAAAATAATCACAAACTTTGATTTTGGCACCTTTTAATTACCCAACTAGTTCTGTGCATTAAAATAATCCTTAACATTTTCTGCCTGGGAAGTAGTTTCTTGCGCTCTCCTAGACGTTCACTCACACATTGTCCATGCCCTAAGCAGGCCTGTGGCAACACAAAATTCCCACAAACCACTCAAGAATCAGAAGAGTAACGGGTGAAAACAACCCCTCTGGGGTGAATGCTATTTTCCATCCTTGCCAGCTAACAGAATATCTTGCTTGAATGCAAGTTCCAGCTTTCTCCTCTGTTGACTTCACACCCAGGACCCTCTCCCCCACCTGTTTCCTGTAGCTGACTGTATTTACCTTAATGCCCATAAGTCTGTGAATTACTTTTTTCAAACAAGTCAGCATTCCAGACCCCTCCTTGATTTTGAAGACCATATTTCTAAAGAGACTTTTGTATGTAATAGTTTGCCCAAGCTCTTCTTTAAGCAAAGAAAGGTATGCTACAGAAAGGACATGGGACAGCAGGCTGTCTCACATTCAAGAGAGAAAATAAAATTCATCCAGCTGTTCACAGAGAAAAATTACATTCTTGGAATCAATGCATGCTCAATGTCAGTTTATTTCACCCATTTTCCCTTAATTTCTAATGCAGCTTTGTGCCTATTTTAGAGAAGAAACAATAGGGAAGAATTGCTAGGGAATTCTAGAGAAGAATTCCAAAAGTGATTAGTGATTTCTGGTGATTCAAACTTAATGAGTCTCCAACCCAAAATATCCTTACAGGCCAGATTTTCATAAGGTGTCAGTCTGATCCTGTTAAAACATATGATAAGAAATCATAGTGTTAAGGATTTCAGAGTCTCATGACAAACTACTGCAGTCACTAGAAAGGGTACTGGAAAAGTTCTCACCCTTCTCTAACCCGGAGTGGCCAGTTCTAGAGGTACTGGTGTAGTAGAGTTGCACAAGAAGAACAAACCTCTGAGAGCCTATGTAAATCTACAGCACTGCCCCCCATCCTTTTTACCCCCACCCTTCACGTTTGCTACATGTTGGGACTCACTGCACTGCAAGGTTAAAAGGAAGGGCATGGCTGAAAGACTGGGCTGGAATTTCTCTACTGGATGGCTTTGATCTCTGCAAACACAAGTTCTGGGGGACTGTATCTTGGCTACCAGACACAGTGTCCTAAAAACAGCTCAGCACTCAGAATCTGACAGTCTTACCCATCCTTGTGGAAGTCTGGTTAGTAAGACACATATTGAATGATAGCTCCTAATTTAGCCCCAGTCTAAGACCTCGATACTGGTAGTTGTGTAGTCAAAGTTAAAACACCACACTTGAGAAACAGAGGCTCTAACATTTCAGCCTCACAATCACCTCTTCTAGGGAATAGTATCTATTTAGTTTGCCTTACAAAACAGCTGCAGAGATTGATACCTATATGCCAACATTTCAACAGCACTTCCAAGGCATAAAGAGCTTCACACTGTTAAATGCTATGCAGTATTTCAGGTTCTTTGCAGCGCAGGTAGGTGAATAATATTCAAATAAAGCTACTTCAAACAAAGGATATTTCCTTTATATTGGAGGATAGAAGTCAGAAACTAAGTTGGCTCCTCAAACACAGTTCACATCATACCTTTATGTGCACTAGAATAAACTAAAGAAATGCAAATACAGCACAGATGGTGCTGTATTTGGTACAGCCAGAATACAGCAAGCAATAAAAGATGAGGATCCTATTATCCCACAAGATGTTGAGTGTACTGCAGGATGCAAGCTAAACACAGTTGCATAATATTGCTAGTGAACCTCTTAAATATTGTAAATTGCTTTCACCTTATGTAGAAAACAATTTTCCTCTAGGTTTAAGCTATGACTTACCTTGGTTCCTTTTACTTCCATCTTTCTTTTAAGCTTGACTGCATGAGAGGTTGTATTTGTAAGTACTTGCTTGCTGTTTATGCACCTCACTGTAGATGTTTGAAAGTCTCCTTGTCTCAGTAGTGCTGAGCCTTTTACAGCCCCAACTAAGAGGGTTTAACAGAGGGAGATAGTGCAGCTGCCCAGCACCAAATGGGAATGTAGCTCTCCCAGTAGCTACCTGCAAAGGGCTGTAGCAGCACTTCTGAACTGATGCAAGCAAGATGACAGTGCTGTGCAACTAGCCCTGCAGCAGTACTCCTGGAAATCCAGTCTCTGTAAGATCTTCACAGTTGCTGATATCAACCTGGTTTATTGGAGAGGGTTAACTGATAGAGGGTTAGTATCACAGCTGCTATATGTGACTCATTAATTTAGCCTTAAAAACATAACAATGAGGACAGGTTTTTTTCAATTGCTCTCCTGCATGTAAGCACAGAGGTTTTGTCTGTCTGTAAGTATGCACTAGTGTGGCTAGATTGGGTACAGTGAACATACACAGTAAGAGAAAATATTTTACCAGGGAAAGAAAGGATGATCCCTCCCCTTTTAATCAGGATAGTGCTGTCAGTGAGGGGAATGGGAACATGTACTAACTACCCTGTAGTGAATATTATGGTAAGTGCTCATGGGATGGCCAGTGCCCTCTTAAGTTTCGGTTGGAGCTGTCCTATCTCTTCCTGAGGTTTTCTATGGTCACAGTGTGCCTTGTAATCACTTGAAGTTCCTAACAGGCACATGATTTGCCACAGTATTTCAGAGATATCTTCATGGTCAAAGAAAGAACTAACTAGAGCCTCTGTGCCAAGCCCAAAGTGATTCTTTTTATGTAGGCAAACTCAAACTCTGGAAGGCATTTTTGAAATGAAAAATGCTGCCTAAGTTAAAGAGTTACTAGAACATCCTGGAAAATAGGAAATCTAACTAACTAGTGTTATCAAACTCCATAGCAAAAGGACATTTTTCTTATTTTTCATGTATAGGAGCAATAATTCTTAAAGATATAGACAGCATTCAAAGAGATTAAAGAGACACTCTAGGATAGTTAAAACAGACTAAGGTGCTCACTAATGAAAAAAAATTGCTTTCCCTAAATATTACATTTACAGCCAGGCATCCCCACAGTCCTTGAGACAAGTATTAGATACCTAATATATAAACATGTGTGTATATTTAACATATTTCTAGGTGTAATTTGGCATATTATAGGTTTTATATAAGTTATATATTAGTATGATATATTATTGTATGTATATTATAAATGTTATGCAGGACATTGTATGTAACATATATACTATGTAGTATTGTAATATAGTATGACTAGTATGTGTGCAAATATATACATGTGTTTAGAATTTATATCTTAATCTTACTCTATACATATACAAAAATATTCTTTTTATTCTACCATCAGTGACACACATCTTCATATACACTTAGGATTTTATTATTTATTAAGTGGAAATCTGCAGCCGCTCTGCCACAGCAAGTGAATTCTGAAACTCTTCAGCTACTTGTGGGGACTAGCACTGGGGAAGTATTCTATATTTTGGAGCATTACCATGAATATATACATTACCATTCCTCGATCCTGTGTTGCAGACAACATAACACCTTACTGAGAACTTGATATTGATAAAAAACAGTCAGCACTCACTGGGTCCAATACCTTCAATCTTGGTGGTCTAAGATAAGACAGGATATACGACAAAGACTATTTCGGAAGTTGCCTCAAAAAAGCTACCAACACAGTTTTCTAAGTTATTTTGTCACTAATTCGTATATTTAAAATGGCTTACAGCCAGTCAAAACTGAGTACTGGCAAATATTGTTGTCAGTAGAGATTTTGTATGAGTGAGGATGCTACTATCCAGTGCATTATCCTTGCACAAATTAATCTGTGTAATAGTCTCTGCCAAACTGGGAATGAAAACATTTTTTGCTTTCCCAAATATTTTCTCATATGCTGTAATAGTTGTTGGAGTTTCTTAATGTTTTATAACAAATGAATAAAGTGATAGGACCAGATAATTTAGATATTTGGTATTTAGGTTTTGTAGAACAAAGGAACAAAAGATGTCAATATTTTTTAATATATTTAGGCTATCTAGGAGCTTATTAGGTCTTTTCTGCTACACACTGCAGTGTTAAGGAAAGAATGGTGGCCATAATGCTTTAAAAGCACAAATTGATAGATACGGCTTAAGCTAAGTGAATTACTGTGGGAGGAAAAGTGTCTACAATACACTGTTAGTCACTATCTGTAAAACAAAAAAGTTAATGAAAAAAGTTTTCACTAAAATGAAGCAGTCATCAAAATGCCTGGAGTTTTTACGCCTCATTTTCAGCCACCTTGTTAAGAAGCCTGGCTTTTCAGGGACTACACCATCTGTGACATCCATGTATATCAGCTGCAGTAAAAGCAGGAAATCCTGAGCTCAACATTTAGTGACACCAAAGGGATCCCAGGGCTTTCAGTTTTTCAGAGTGTTATTTTGAGTGCCTCATTTCTGAGGTGCTCAGCTCAACTATCAGAGGGTAAGCACTTAGCTGCTCCCAGAATTCAAAGACCTTTGGAACATCTCTCATGGAGAGGTTAGAAAATGAGGTTTCAAAACTCCATTGTCAAATACAAAAAAGCTGGTCTGCATCTCCAAAAGGAGTTCTCTCACAATAACTTTTGCTACAGTATTGCTTTTGGAGAGAAACTGGATTAAGGACTCCACCACTGCAGCCACTGCAGACCCAAACTGCTCACTTTTGGGGGCTGACGCCTTCTGGATCTTCCCCTTAGTCCTGCATAGGAGCAGCCATTATCTTGACTGACACACCCTACCAGCTATTGGTGAGTGCACATGGAGGATGTGCAGATAGATTTCACACGCTGTCCAAGGGTGGTTATGTAGCCAGCCTACCCACGTTTTAAGCCACTGGAGATCTGACAGCTGCTTATTTTAATTTGTCTTGAAGCAGAAGCATTATTGTCTGAATACAAACACAATCTGGAACTCACTCCAAATACTTTGGCTCAAAAATCACAGGAGAAAAGTTGGCCTTGTATGTTAGGTTAGGGAGTTCTGTATTCAGGACAAAGGCTTGCTACGTATTTCTGGTGTTTCCTTGTGAAGTTTTGCACTTAATACCTCCACATATTAGAGTGTTTCCTCTTGCAAAAAAATATTTAAGCAGGGCACACTCTTTGTAATGGAGCTGGAGACCACCAAGTACCCTCTGTCTGCTTCATGCCCATAACAATTTTATGCCTTGAGTCCTAGTGCACAGCTGAGTTTGGCGAATCAAACTGCACTGAGGGTGGGCCATAAAACCATACAGAAATGTGTCTCCTGCTCTATGAAAGGCTTCTAGCACCACTCTAAAAGTATGTTTGAGAGAGGCTGTACTCTGTATAAGCGTGAGCATGTGAATTGAGCCACCTTTGGGCAAACCACAGTGCAGAAGCTGTAATAAAAAGGGGGAAAAGACTGGCAGCAAGTTAGAGAGGAAGGAAGTGTGATTTTCTCAGGAGATAAAATAGCATCCAGAACAAAGGTGGTGAGGTGAGATCCTGAAAATCCTAATGCATGACACTACCACCAGTCATTGCTACAAAACTCTCCTTTTCAGTTCAAAACAGGAAGTATGCAAAGTCCTAAAAAAGGTTACGTAGTGCCTAACAGAAAAAGACTGAAAAAACTAGTAATAATAGGCAAGTTCCCTGATTTTATTTGTCATGTTAGTTTATGTTCCCATGTGAATTGATACCTGGCTTTCTCATTTTCTTTAATTCTAGGGCATTTGACAGAACTGTCAGCTAAAAAGTGTGTGGCATCATTTGAAAATGAGATTAATAACTATATTGAATTTATGCAGCAAAAGCATGAGCATATGAAAACAGGAGTCTAGGACACATAGAACATTTGAATTTTTAGTGGTTATTAGCTTACAAAAGAAGGAAAACATCTGCAAATTTCTAAATGCTTAGCTGTCTGTGATTGGTATGACAAAAATGAGTAAGCGTAAGATGTAACAAAGATGATTAAGGTTAGGCATTAGGAAAAAAAAACAAACCAACAGATAAAATGTGGTGAAGCACTGGGATACATTTCCTGCAGGATTTCTACAATATTCACCATTAGAGGTCTTTAATAACAGTCAATATAGCTGTCTTTCAGGAATGATCAAACACTATGTTTTGGGACAGGGGAATGACATTTGGAGGTCCCTACCAAATGAACACTTCTGCAGTCCCTCAAAGAGATGTGAGGATTACTTTCACATTTACAGCTCCTTCTGTGTTGTCCCGTATACCCACCTACCTGCACAAGTCTTGGGCCTTTTGGATCAGGACTCTATGCATGTTAAGAATTTCCCTTTGAGTTGTTGCTGAGCAATATGAAATATTTCTTACTCCCACCATACTGTCTCCATATATTTCTCACTACCAGTCAGACTAGGGAGTAGCAAGGAAGCTTGCAAAATAAATTCACATCTCTTCTGCGGCAATGTTCCTATTAAATCACAAGATTTAATCTATCCAAATGAAACTGGACAATTTGCTTGTGAAGAACCATTCCAACCTTTCCCTGGTGACCAGCTGGCTGGCCATGTGGTCACTGAGAAATACTGTACATACCATACTTCTAGTTCTGATGCAGTCTTTCTTATCCCAGTAACTACCTTGTCAAAGCACATGGCTGCCTGCTAGGAATAACATTTGAGAGATCTGCTTCTAATTTATTTATTGCAATGTCAACACCGAATAACTTAAGCATATTTTCCACAGATGACTGCACATTTTTTTTAACACGCTGTTTCATGTCTGTGTGCCACTAAGCATTCCAAAATTTTTTTGCAAGCTGTCATATATTTTTTTGGCATTATATAACCATTTCATCCATGAGCTGCTAGTGGACTTTTTCTCTGACTCTGGAGCAAGCTTTGTCTGTCTGCAAGCCTACTTTTTCCATTTGTCTCAGAGAGGAAACATGAATCTGAATAGTCTTGTGAGTGAACCGGTATGTTTGCTGATGTGAGCTTCTCTATTGATTGTCTTATCATCTCACTGAAAGAAGACAGACTGCCAAGATAATCATTTCCCCCTTCACAGAAGAGCTTGGTGGTTACATCTGAGTGTGCCTTCGTATACTTTATCGCACCTACAAAAGCAGAACTGTTTTTTCCCTTTGTAAATAATTTTAATTTCAGAATCATTGCTCAAAGGATCTTGAAACATCTTACGTTAGGATTCTTAATGGAATATTACAGAGCTTGCTTTTTGACAGAGTCCTAGCTCTTGCTCACTTCCACAGCATTATCTGGTTGTTAGTATCATGTGCCTACATTTAGTCATTCAATCAGTCACACAGATTCAGTATTTCTTTCAACAATTCAGCAGATTTACTTGCACATTCAGAATGAGTCATTTGTTTGACTCAGGGTCCATATCTCTAAGAAAGCCTGGAAAAATCGGTCTTGACAGATAATAAAGTGGTTATACAGCTAAATATTTTAAAGCAGCTTTCATTTAACCCATACTTCAGCTGAACTACAGCAAAAAGATTGTTAGATCTCTATTGTTAACATTCTGGTGATACATGGACTGAGTTTTAATTGAAGATTGGTTAAAGTACAGCTTTCAGACTAAAATAAAAACTAGGCAAAGCTTTGCAATTCCAATCACAAGTAGAAAATGTTGGCTGCTTCAGGCAGGTGTAAGAGTTTTCAGAGACAAACCTCAAGCAGATGGACTACTGTAAAAGAAAGTGAGTAAGTATCTTAAGAGATGCCTTGTGAATGGAAATCATGGGGGTTTATGCAGGCTAGCAAAAAGCATAAGACTCTGGGTATAGTTGAGTGACTGATGTTTTGTAGACAACTAACTCATGGGTTGCCAGCACTGATCTGAAATTCTTCTGAGGCTAGCTTGTTCCTGCAAAATATACAGCATTTACTGGTCATAGACTTCCTGAAAAATTACTCGACTTGGGATTTTTTTATTATTCTCCCCACCTGCTCCCTGACTCCCCTCCATTTTCTCCCCCAACAAAATAAAACAAAAAAATAAAACACCCAATGCCAACATACTGGATCTCACTAATCATAATATACTTTCTGGAAGCCCCACAGCACTAATAGCTGCATCATTTCTTCTTTGGAGACAAAGGTGAGAGTGTTCTCATCTCCCACTTCAGTGTTGGCAAGTCCTGAGTTCACCTATGGAGAATCAGCAAATCTCATGCTGATCAGACACCCTACTCATACAAGCTAAGATGACAGCTGCTTAGCTCCCATGCTTTGTTGGTTCAACAGGACCAGGAGAGTTATGAGGTAGTGATTTAAGTATTTTTGTCATTGAAACCAAATCTCACTTGAATAGATCAGTATAAGGAGATGATGCCACTTCTATCAAAAATTTCCTGATCCTTCAACAGCTGCAGTTCAAACAAAATACCATCTTCCTTTGCCTTTCACCCAGAGTTTCAGGGAAGGGTAGAATTTCCTGAATTTCTCTATAAAACGATAAGGATTAAGAAACACTTTTTAAATACTTCTGTTAGTAGTTGCAAAGGGAGAGGCTGACAAATCTCTGAGCGTGATCTATTTCTTTTCTCCCATTTGGCTTGAGACAGGATTGTTAAATGATTCTGAGCAGTATTAGGGGAGAAGAGCACCCTTCTGTGGTGTG